ACCATACCATACCATACCATACCATACCATACCATACCATACCATACCATACCATACTGTACTGTACTTTACCGTACCGTACAATACCATACCATACGAGCTGTAAGGGTTGAGGGCTAGCGTCTAGGTTGAGGGTGAAACCCAGACGCTCTCTGGCAAGCCAGCCTCAACTAAGTCAACTCCCCATCCTTATTGAACAGCCTGGGGACCCCTTCTCTGTGCATAGGAGCAGGGGTTGCCGATGGAGCTCTGGCCAGGAGGTACCATAGCCCTGCGAGATGCGATATGAGCAACGACCCTTCGGCTCGTAGAAGGGTCCGTACACATCCACCATTATGGTAGGTTTGGCGTCACAGCAGGTCGACCTGTTCATTCAGGAACTCACTGTCGACATCTTCTTCTCTCCCTCTCGTGGGAGCTCTACAGACAGGGCATGGTACCCACAGACTGCCAGATAACTCATCGTGAGATGTCTTCACGGACCCAGAAGGCCTTGCAGTAGTAAGGAATAGGCAGTCTGGAAACAGATGACGCCCCTACAGATATCCTTGCAAATGCTCACTGATCCATGACGTGACGATCCTCTGTCTGAGTAGATTTGGTCATCCCTTTGATTATTCTTCTCCATGAACTGAAATGTTAACAGCAGATAGCCAGGAGACAGCAGATGGCGGGGATTGGGCAAACGCAAGCTACGCTTGGTGATGTAGACGACTCGCTGTGGAAGGAACGCGTTACCCCTTGCTCAATGGAAACCCTTACTGGAATGCTCAGACGATCACTGGTCATTGGCTGCAATTTGTGGATCCCATCTCTCAGAAATAGAGTGTGCCTACACCCCCTATAATTGTCTACTTTCTAAGAAATCCCCGTGGAGGTTGATGGAAAACAGGACAGGGAACATTGCACATGTGTTCTCTTGTGGCAAGATGTTTGGGCACAAGCCAGTGTCCACGGATGCATACAAGCCTTTACAACACCCAAACAACAACATACCATTCCGTACCATACCATACCATACCATACCATACCATACCATACCATACCATACCATACCATA